GATATGTTTCATTTCCCTTAAAGTTCAAAGTTTAGAACACTGAAAAACAGAAGTGAAACTCAAACAAGGAAACTCTCCAATTCATAAGTTTCAGCTGAAACCTAAGCCTGTTCACTCTAAGTAAAATAGACAAATAATTTAGCTGATTTTTTTTTTTTTTTGGAGACCTTCTAGAAAGCTGTTTCCTATGTGCACTGAGAACAAGACAAAACATTAGTGTGTTGATTTATCCAGGTTTCCAAGCTGCGTTCGCAGCAGCCTGCAGCATTACTGCAGCTATTGCTCCATGGTGACTAGAGGCAGTAGGTACCTTTTTGAAAGGGTAAAATGATGTAGAGAGAACTGTGTGGTTTGAAAAGGCTGAAAAAAAGGAACCATGCAGTGGTCTGAGTGGAAAACCTTTTTTTCTTACTGAGTGCATAGGAGTGGTCCTTGTTTTGACCTAACTTCTCTGAAGAGTGAGAGCTCTCCAATATATTAAAAAAAGAGTGGTTTTCCCTTCCCATAGGCTTGGGCATCTCACCTGAATTTGTGTCCCAGCCCTGAGCCAAGATTGCAGTGGTGGCTTGGAGGGCGGCAAGAGGTGGTGCTTCCCAAAACACTGGGCAAACTTGCAGATGGGGAGCTTCTGGCTCCATCTTAATCTCTTTGTAGGTGCTGTGCTCTTCTCCCTTCTGCCATGTCCCTGCATAGGCACCACTTTCGTCACTGTGTACTGTCATCAGTAACAAAAACAGTTGTTAGATTCAATGCAATCTTTGACTAATAAAGAGTTATGGAAGAAAAGTGAAATGAATAACAATTTTTTCAAGTATTCAGGTGTCAATGTAGTGAATGTCACTGGAGAGCTTCCGCTGAGGATTTGCTGTTCAATTAAAAAAAAACCCCAACACTGGAGCATTTCTCAGGTTCCTTGTCTGACCGCAAGCCCCAGGCATGTCTTCATATTAAGATGAGGTGTTCGTCTAGTAATTTTCCTCTCTATATTCCTTTCTTTCCTTATCTTCTTTCCTTTCTTCCCTCCACTTACTTGGGAAACAGCTACAGGATGCACTGGACATTAAAAGAAGTGTCTCGATGTATTAAAAAGCAACTTCGTAAAAATCCCACCAAGGTTGATGCATTTTTCTCTGTCACTTGCAAATTCATTTTGCTCTCCTCTTCCTTCTTCCCAACTTGTGCCATTTCAATCAAGTTTCTGTAAAATGCTGTTCTAAATTGTTATATGCTGTGAGACTGATTACTGGTTACATGTACAATGTGAGAAAGGAGAAAGGAAGCTGATTTTTACAATTGCCACAGGAGACTGTGTCTAGTTTGTCTTAATCCTGGACATACAAAGTCACTAAGCAGAGAGTTATCATTTGATAAGCAAATTAGCTATAATATCACCTTAGAAATGGCCAAATGATTTTAAGCTAAAGGTCAGCCATCTCATAACCAGACTGGCCCCAAAGAATCAGTGTTTAGAGGAAGGGCAGGCCCTGTTTTTTACTGGTCTTTTTTTTGTTGTTGTTGTTATTACTTAAAATGTGTAGTTTTTGAATGTCAGAATGTCTTACTAAGTACATTCATTAAAGCTGTGTTGCTGCCTCAGTCAGCCTCTAAATATCCTCAAAGATCCTAGAAATCATACTTATACACCGCCTCTGCTTGCTGATGTGCTAATACTTCAGCTGTCATTTTGATATTTTAATGTTAGTCACTATACAGCTCAAAAATTTTTAGAGAAAATCCTTAATGTCAAACCTTCTGCCCACATAACAAATATAATTTAATATTTCTTATTACATATTTGTTGTTCACTGCTTTAGCTCTTTATAAATCCTTATTCCGATTTTAAAATCATCTTATCGTGTGCTTGTAACAAATTTTTATTGATCTCACAATACAAGTATAATAATCATATTTATTTTAGCACATACAATCACTATTTATTTACTTTCCCTGCTGTGTAAACACACAGACAGCTGGATTAGGAAGACTTCCTATGTATGTGCCTTGAAAACATCAGGTCATAACAAGTTGGAGCACCATTAAGTGTTTACTGAAGTAATTAGTGGGGACAGAAATTCTCCCTGCTGGGTGTAAGCATACAGGTCTGATGTAAAACACATCTCCCCAAAATGGCAGAACTCATCAGCAGTTTGCCTCCTAAGTTTTCTTGCCCCAGTGCAGAGAGAGGTTGTGAAAAGCTGTGACCCATGATCTGGCAATACACACAGACCCTCCCGATTCCCTGATGAGCAGATCGCCTGACCAAACATTCCTTTTCAGAGCAGTAGAGTTTGGTGAAGGGCTGCTCAGTGACCCTGAGCAGCAGCCACTTTGGTCCTCTTGAATCTTAATTAAGAGGGTTCAAACCACAAGTGAGAGGTTGAGGAGACGAAGCTGCTAATGCAGCAGAGGATGGAGGCTTTCAGTTCGTGCAGCTTTGCAGGGAAATGTGTGTGTTGATGGCAAGGCAGTCCAGGTTTTTCAGAACTGGGCAAGGAGCCAAGAAAGTCCTACCTTTAAATTCAGTCTCTGGCATTTTCTCTGTAGATACAGGCAGCCCATTTAGCCTTTTCTGTGTTACTCACCCTAGCATCATGGGGCTAGTATCTGCTTGATATCGTCACAGGGTGTGCTTGTTATCATGAGTGAAGATGAGAAAAACCAAGTAGCTTAATTTTATTAAGATGTTCTGCTTCCTTCTCTAGCCGAGATTTGTTTCACATGCACCTACCTAGATGCTTTTTCATGCATACAAACAATTTATACAACAGAAATTTATGGTCTATTATAGAAAATTTACAGTCTGTTAACGATCAAGGAGAAACATCTTGGTGTAAATTTTCCCTGCTGTTGTAGCAGCATATTTGTTTGCACAGATATGCATCAGAAAAAATACAACTTTGTTTTTCTATAGTGTTCTAAGAAACAACTGGGGCCAAACACCAATAATCTAATTGAAAATTTTAGTTGTCGATTCATAATATTTTCTTTCTTTCTTTTTTTTTTTTTTTAAATATGAGTGAAATAACGTAGTCATCAATTTTCTTTATGGCACAACAATTTTTATCTTGTAGTACTATTATTATTTACCAGTGTGCATGCCTGACTCCCATCTTAGTTCCTAGTTACTGCCATCTAGCATCTCTGCAGCATCAGGGGGGTTCCACAATTCCACAACATTGTGACTTTCTTGCATGTGATTCCTTGATTTTCAATAACTGTTTTCTATACAGATGAGGGCATATTATTAGTTACAAATTCTTTCAAGCTATTTTAAATTTATTTTTGTTGGTAGTCATCTTGGGTGAATATATCTGTTTTCTTGTTTGTATATATTAGATTGTAAGTTATAGATGAAAGATGGCATAACTTATTGGAAAACATTTCTATCCCATCCAAAAATTCTCTGCAGTTGCCCAAAGTAATTGGAAGAATTTATTTTATAAGAAAACACTGAGATGGATGAATGATTGAGGGCAGATAAAGCATACTTTTTTTTTTTTTTTTTTTTAATGTGTACATATACAAGATGATATGAGTGACATATTAGGCACAAATAGTTCTGAAAAATACCATTTGGAGTTCTTTATCATTTAGTAGTGTAATAGTACAATACGTAGAGATGATAAAAAGGTGAAGGAACAAATTCTGCAAGCTATTCTGATGAAAAAGCAACTGCATGCTTCATCCTAATTTTCATCCTGATATCCAGTCATACGGGGGTAAAATATATAGTTTGAGACTTTGATTGAAAGTGAAGATAAAATAAACCAAAATATTTAGGAGTGAGGGAACTAACAAACCAAGTCTGAGTATATGGATTTGAAAGGCCAGAGCTCAAGAAAAACACCACTTTCTGCCTTAGGGTTTGTATCCTGGATGAAGCTGAAAAAGCTACTGTTTTCTGATATTTCAAGAGCAAAGTTATGAAACTCCATTGTAAGATCTGCATAAGCACCAACTTAAATTTTTATAGGTATCCGTTGTAAGCAGAGTTGGGTTTCCTAAGTGGATGTATGCAGAAAGGTAAAAAGGTACCAGCATGCTTAAGAGCCCAAGTAGAAGAGGGATGCAGGGATCTGTGGAGTTTAACATGAGATGCTCTGAAAGAATGGTGACTCCAGGTTATGTGTACAGTCAGTTATATAGTGTCCATCCTTCTTGTTAAATTCTGCAGTCAACCAGTTTGTACCTTGAAGCTTAAAGTTCAACTAATTCTCTTTTTTTGTTACTGCACAAGTTAAAATTTCTTAAGATTATTGAGCCACAGTACTCTACTCTTTGTCCTCTGATTAGTAGTATACTAAAATTTAAATACAGTTGTGCGAACAACTTTAGGTATATAGTACACATGGCCATGTTTTTTTTTTGAAAGTGTATAATATAAGTAGCCCAAAGATTTAAAGATGAAAGATGCTTTCACAATTACTGATAATGATGGAAATGTCAAAACACTAGAACAAGTGGCTGATGCCTGTAAAGTGAGAGCTGATACTTCATTTCTTGTTTTCCTTGTTATGGGGTGTGTACGTTTTCATGGTGGTGGCAGTGTGGGTATACAGTATCTGACTGATGTTGGAGCCTGCTTTTCCAGCGGACTGAATCCTTTGGAAGAGGCACTCAGCATCTCCAGTACAACCTTTAGGTCAAGCTCTGCTCTCCAAAGGAAATGGTTTCTGTGAACCACTCTCCTTGGGTAACATAGAACTGTGATGTGGGCTTCAGAAGAGAAGAGACTCAGAAGACTAATTTGCCCACCATGAGGCAGGATCATCTGTCTGCATGCCAAGAATTTTTCGCAGGCTTTTTTTCTGAGGTCTAATCTGAATCCTTCTTGATGCAATTTGCATGTCATTATTGCTTGCTCCCCCTACCACAAGCACAGAGAACAGATTTTTCTCTTCCTCTCCACAGAAAGTTTTTATACGTTTGATGCCGCTCAGTCATATTTGGTTTAGTTTAGGTAACCCTGGTTCTTTCATGCTTTCTGGTTACTTTTGTAGCTGTTGTTTAGGTGCAGTCACTCAACATCTTTCCTCTGGTGTAGTACCTGAAACTGGATACAGTGTTGCAATGAGAGCTTTTGCAGCATTAAACAGAGTAACACAACTACTCCACATACCTTCTAGGCTTTATTTTGGTGATTTCATCCTGGGAAGTTATTGGGGTCTTTCACAGCAGCATGATGGCACATTTTCAATCTGCAATCCAAAAGCACCAAGGCTAGAAATAACAAGAGAACAGCAGTGGTACTGATAATAGCAAAAACTAGCTGGAGAATCATAACTAAGGCACATCTTCCTGAGATACAAAACTAGATGTGTTGTCTAACCGGGCCCCTGTAGAGAATGGAAAGCTTATGCATTCCCTAATGGAGATCCACAAGTGCCATTCCTGAAAGGAAATGGATTCTTTCTGCAGCTGAAAAAGAGAACATGACACCTGGTAATGTATTAGAAGCCAAAATCCAAATGTTAATGGAATTCTGTTGGCACTGAGCTGTTGAGTAAATAAATCTACAAACTTAGATATGAGATGGGATGCTGTTGAGACCTGTGCTTTGTCCAGAGGAATACCTTGAGCCTTGTTCAGGGTGAATAAGGCCAGTTCAAATGAAAAATCAGGGCACCAGTCTTCAGGTCTAGGTCTCCCAAATCCTTCTCCTATTTGCTGGCATAGTTCGGAGCTTCAAGAATTTAAGAGCAACACCTTTGATTGTACAAATAGCATTCCTTACTGTGTGTGATTATCTGTTTTGGAGATGTTTTAATTCACATTATTTCACGCTCAGCAGGCTTGGAGAGCTGCTGTTTCATAAACTGCTCTTGCTCCCTCTTTAACTCAGCAGCTTCAGGACTTCTGAGATAAATCAGGCTGCAAGACAGCCACTGACTTGGTGTTTCCCTCTGAAAAAGCACAAGAAAGACAAATCCCTAGCCACATTAGTACTGGTGAAGTTGTGAAGCCAAAGTAAGATTGTTGACTGCTGCTATCTCAGATTATTCCTTCAGATGAGATTGGGATGGCTGTTCTATGGAAAAAGCTTGAACTATTTTTAAATTAGCGATAACACCATCATTATGCAGTAAAACCTAGTGCAGGCTGCTAAACCTGTTCAAATGTAGGCTAAATATTCCAGACAGGTTTTCATTGAGAAGCACAGTGCTTTATCTCTTCTGTTGGCAGTTATGTGAGCAAGTGATGTAGGATATTCTGGTTATACTGATGTCATGGTTTAAACCCAGCTGGTAGCTCACTACCATGCAGGTGCTTGCTCATCCCCCTTATCCTCCCTCCTCAGGTGGGATGGGGAGGAGAATCAAAAGAATGTAAAACCTTCAGGTTGACAGAAGAACAGTTTAATAACTAAAGTACAGTATACTAGTACTACTAACTATAAGGGGAATAACAAGGGGAGAGAATATAAAACTAAAAGGGGGGAGGGGGGGACAGGACGGGACATGGACGACAACAACAACAAAAAAAACCTCACCCACAAGTGAAGCAGAATCACCATGCCCAAAGCAATACCCAGACCAACCCAAGCAGTGATCGGTCCCTTCTGTGTAACTCACTGGCATGATGTGCTGTAGTATGGAATACCCCTTTGGCTAGTTTGGGTCAGGTGTCCTGCATTTGTTCCCTCCTGGATTCTTGTGCTCCTCCTCACTGGCAGAGCATGAGAGAATGAGAAGTCCTTGATCAGGGTAAGTGCTATTTAGCAACAACTAAAACATTGGTGTGTTATCAGTATTGTTCTCAGATTAAAGCCAAAACACAGCACTGTACCATCTAGTAAGAGGAAGATTAACTCTATCGTAGCTGAAACCAGAACAACTGGTTGATAACTGCAGTATAGGCATATTCTCAGGTCCCACAGTAAAGTGATACATGCTACTGTAGATTTCTTGCTAGGGGGAGAATTATTATTTTTTTATTATTATTTTTTTTTAACTTGGCTAGAAATCTCAACTTTAAAGTATCCAATAAACTTCTCTGTTCATCTAGAGAGGAGTGATTGAAAAGGAAATGGTTTTTAATCGCTGTTAAATTCATTGCTGTTGTTGCTGCCTAAAGATGATTGCATCTCAGTTCATATCTCAACAGAGTGAGCTCACCAAGGCAGGTCTAACATGTAACAGTTTGCTTGGGCTTGTCAGTGCTGTCTCATAGTTTCCGTTAATTTTTATGAGAACACTGATTAATGCTGCAAGAAAGGCACAGGTTGTACTCAAGGAACTTCTCCATAATCGGTGTCATCATTTCTGATAATGCTAGCACAGAGAGCTGGAGATTCTGGCATGCTTGATAGTGAGATCCCACTGCTCAGGCACAGCAATTTCCAATTAGTTTCTGAATATGCCAGATGAGGTGGCTGGCCCTCAAGGGCTGTTTCTCCTCTGCAGCAAAAAAGTTATTCAGTAAATTGGTGCAATACACAGGTCTTTATTTATTTATTTATTTATTTTTAATCCCCAGTGAGGTGTTAGGCATAAAATAAATGCCTTTCATTTCACCTGTGCAGGGTGGTCATTACAATTTTAGATAGAAACAGCGTTAATAAAAAGAGATAGTTGTTGCTAGCCCAACTGCCAAAAAAGTGAAGGGGTCAATATGGTCCTTTTTCTGTCATCACAGGCTTCTTTCTCAAGGGTGTCAGTACAAAGAAAAATGCCATTCTAAGTAAAATTTCAAATTGATTTCCCCTTTGTTACTATACATGATGTCATGCACTATGAATGAAAGGCTACGGCATATCTGTGAATGTCTAGCTGTGAACATCCAACTGTATAGTCTTTTAACAATGATTCTGTGAGGTATTGTCTCCTACCTTGTGAACTGAAAACCAGGCAGTATGTTAGTTTTCTGTCTTGTTTATATTGGTCTGTGCCAGCTGCTCAAGTAATGTGTATGTTTTTCCTCTTGTATTTATGCTGTTACAGGTGCTAAAAAGCACTGTGGGAGTACTCTCATAGTAGCATGGGAAGCTGGACAAACAAGTACCAATGTGATTTGAAGTTAAAAGTAATTTTGTTAAAATTGTCACCACCAATTTTGATGGTAAAAGAATGAAATAAAACTCAAATCCTAACTTGCTGATTTGATCAGTCCTCATGAGCAAAAATAAGGGGTGCACCTATAATACATGCCAGTGGTGGCTTGTTTCTCTTTATATCCAGCTTTTCTAGTTTTGTCAAACATTCAGCATTATAAGTAATCCTGTTAAAGGAACAGACATGGTAGAAAGTAAGCAATGAAAACCAGAGGGCTTCACTTTAGGTTGCTGTTTTTATCTGGATAGTCATGATGTTATCAACTGATGAATATTTGTCTGCCTCTTTGAAAACAGATGGGATATATAGCCTTGTTCCTTGGAGAAGAGTGTTCCCACTTCAAAAACTTCATTTGGCTCTTTGTATGGAAATAAAGAAGTCACTTTAGATGATATCAGGAAAATATACACAGCACTAGCCTGGTGAGGTTGGAGGGTCTGAGCCAGAGAAAAAATTGTGAGGAAAACCTTACAGGATGAAAGTTGGAGAGATCTACTTGTTTCAGTTTGCGAATATTAACCAAAAGCTTTGCTCAGTGCATTATTCTTGTGAAATGAGTGGAAATATACTCAGGTGTCAGGACCTCATCCAGTCCACGCCTCAGCAGGACTCCCTCTTCATGAGAAAAGTTGCTTTGGAGTTAGGCTTCACACTTGCAGTGTTCCTATTCATATGGATTGCCCTTTGCCAATGGGACAGCTGAGAGCATTGGGTGTCTTACCAGTAGAAGTTAAAATTTTCACGGTAATTTCTAGCTAAAATTGTATTCTTTTTATTTTTTCCCTGATTTTGCTGCAGATCTCCCAGAATCCTTGAGCAGAGACTTTTACACAATACCTGACAATTCTTGCTCTCTCAAAAGCCTTATCATGACAGAGCTCAAGCCATTTACAGTACAATCAGTGAGCCATGCTTCTAAATGCTTTTATGCAACAGCACATGTCTGCTTTGATATCCTTTTCTTCAGGAAATTACACTACAAGGATTATTCCCCTACTGAGAGTGAAGGTGCTCAGTCCAACATAGTGTTGCCTTCAGTTGTTTTCTGTATATGCACACAGATCTAGTTATAAACTGTATATCTAACGCTTTATGAGTTTTTATTCCATAACTTCTGAAATTATTCCTGTAGATGGTAATTGTCATGGGAGACTTAGAGGGACTGGTGATTCCTGTATTATACAACCAATCTATTGCATTGTGAAATGTCCCATCTCCTAATCTCTTTCATATGTTTGGCAAAACACGTGTTAAATTTGTTAGGTTTTCTTTTGTGTTTATATGAGAAAATTGTTCTTGAACCTCAGCTCCTTAACGATTAGAAATTTTCATCTAACTTTCAGTCTAAACCAAATTTCTGGCTAGCTCATATTTTTTCTTAGAGGTTGGCCATCTTATGTGGCACTTTTGCACTTATCCCATTGTGACAGCTCTGAGATTTTTGTAGAAGACACAAATGACCTGTACTCAGGAGTAAAGACTAACACATGTTTTCAGAGACTGAATCAAAACCATGGAAAAATTTTTTGTGTAACTTCTTGTTTGACACCTCTCCCTCCCCTAAAAGTTTAATTTGGCCCAGAATGAAATGCTTTTTATTGTTGTTGGCATTTCAGTTAAAACTATTTTAGCAAAGCTTTCATCTTTTTAAGGTAAAAAGTAAATATGTTGATGGTTTTGAAAACATCAAACCAAAATATTCTAACATTTCAGAAACACTTATTGTAGAAATGGCATGATATTCCATTTTTTTTACAAAGAGGTCAAATCTGTATTTAGTTACTTTAGTACAAGTTATGAAATACCTATCTGTAGTTAGAAATCTACCATAGCCAGAAGCTCCCTCTTCAGGGTGTGGTGACAGTGAGTCTGAAAGTTAAATGGTTGATGTTTCACAGAATAATTGCAGATACTCCGCTGTTACCTGTAATTGTTACATTAGCAGCTGAGAAACTCCGTTTGCACCAGCCAGCTCCGCAGGTTATTAGAACTATGTTTCGGTAGATTTTACTGAGCAGGGAACTATAGAAAATCTAAAGTCTTGAAAATTTTTTTAAGTGTTTTGTTATTTATTAAATTTTTTTTTAAACTCTTGGTATTTTTCTGGTACACATGTGGAACTTTCAGGCTGAAAGGAAAAGGAGGAAAAGAATCTGAATGTACTGTAGTCTCCCCTAGGTTCTGAGCAGCAATGTCATGTTCTAGGGGAGATAGTGCTGCGCAAGCCTCTGACAAAGTACCATACCCTTCAGGAAATTTTATATATGCATATGAATAAAAGCATGACTTTGGAGCTTTGCTTCAGAAAATGGCTTTGTAGTGATTGCTGATATTTGATAATGTTCCATTTTTTCCTAATATCTGTGACCTCCAACTTATTCTGGCAGTCCTAATGTGAAGAGTTCTGCATGTTTGTAGGCAGGACATGGAATAGATTTGCCTTA